ATTGTGTGGGGGGGGGGGCATGCAAGTATGTTGGAGTCAAAACCGCTGTTCAGAATAGGCAACTTTTGCAGTTCCCAAAATGGAATGGAGCAAAAAAGGCGACCCTACCCTAAATCTGCCAAGCGACACTGCGGGTAATGACGACTGGCACAGTTTTAGACCCCCCCGCTGAATTAAAACGTGTGCATTTTGAAACTCACATCATGACACCGGCGCCACTTTGTCGTTTCTTGCGCATTTCAAACTAAAAGTGTGTCACGGCCACAGTTTCCCTTTTCTTTTTTTTTTTCCTTGTAATGGACTAGGAGTATGTCGGAGTCTCTTTCGGAAGCAGAGTTCTGCCAATTGGAGGAGGAAGGAGGGACAGGACGATGGAACGCAGGGTTAACCCTGGTTTGAATGAGCAGGTAACCCTGGGTCAGTGGTGACAGTCATTTTTCAGGAGGGTGCAAATTATCTGCCGTGGAAAGTCGCTTGCCTAGCTCAGTTGGTACCCCCACAAAATGTTGAAATATGAACCAGACCCAAGTTCGAATCCCGATGGTGTAAGGTAAGAGGACATCAGTGCAAAAATCGTTGAAAGTAACAGCCCGTGTTAACCATGTGTATTCACAAGAAAAGGCGGAGACAAAGACGGCGTTCAAAACTGGGGATAGGAAGGAGAGAAGTGGAAGTGTGAAGAAGATGAGAGGCAGGGACAAAAGCTTTTGGGGGTTAATAACCATCAGTGTTCCTCTACGGATTCTTTAACCAACCAGTACATGAGGCAGTGACAAAAGCTTTGGGTGGTAGCCATCAGTAGTGTTCCTCGACAGACGCTTAAACCACCAGTAGTGTTCGCGAACTTGAGAATCGTGATTGAACCTCTCCGGAAATTTCAGGGGCTCGGGGTAACCGGGCCAAAATGGCTGGCAGCGGCAGCCAAAACTTAAACAAAATTTCCGCGCTTTGCGTTCCGGCAAAGCTTGGCGACGTTGGCGTGCAGAGGGGAATCTGCCTTGTATAAAAGAGGAGGCCCGGATGTACAGGTGGTTTAAAACTTTAAACCGCCTGTACATCCGGGCCTCCTCTCCCCCCGACGTCGGAAAATCGGGGGGACCGGTAGGCCGATATTAGTAATCCACCTTCGGCCTACCGGTAGTACAGGGAGGGCCTCACTTCATTCTTGTTCTTTGTTTTTTTTTACTCTGCAAAAAAAAAATAAAAAAAAATGAAACTGAAGTGCCTC